TACAAGATCTATATGAGGAAAACAAACTGATGAAAGAAATCAAAGAACTTGGCCGGGCGCAGTGGCTCATGTCTGTAATCCCAACACTTTGGGAGGCTGAGGCGGGTGCATCACCTGAGGTCAGGAGTTTGAGACCAGCCTGAAGAGAATGAAAAGACAAGCCACTGACTGAGAAAATATTTGCAAAAGATATATCTGATAAAGAAGAAAATATACAAAGAACTCTGAAAACCCAGCAATAAGAAAATAACTCAATTAAAAAATTGGCCAAACTCCTTAATATACAAAGAAGACATACAGATGTCAAAAAAGCATATGAAAAATTGTTTCACATCATATGTCATCAGGGAAGTGCAAATTAAGACAATGAGATACTACACAAATAAGAAATGGCCCCAATCCAGAACACTGACAACATCAAAGCTGGCAAGGATGTGGAGCAACAGGAACTCTCATTCATTGCTAGTGAGAATGCAAAATGGTATAGCCACTTTGGAAGACAGTTTGGCCATTTTTTAAAAAACTAAACATACTCTTACATAAGATCCAGCAGTTGTGTTCCATAGTATTTACCCACAGGACTTGAAAGCTTACACCCACACAAAAGCCTGCACATGGATGTTTAGAGCAGCTTTATTCATAATTGCCCACCTTTGGAAGCAACCAAGATGTTGCTCAGTAGATGAATGGATAAATAAACTGTGGTACATCCAGACAATGGAATATTATTCAGCACTAAAAAGAAATGAGCTATGAAGCCATAACAAGACATAGAGGAAACATAAATGCATATCACTAAGTGAAAGAAAAGGCTACATATGGTGTGATTCCACCTATATGACATTCTGGAAAAGGCAAAACTATGGAGACTATAAAAAGATCAGTGGTTGCCAGGGCTTGAGGGGAGGGAGGGATAAATAGGGAGAACACAGGATTTTTAGGGCAGTGAAACCACTCTGTGATACTATAATAATGGATATATGTCATTGCACATTCGTCAAAACCCTTGAATGTACAACACCAAGAGTGAGGTCTAATGTAACATATGGACTTTGAGTGATAATGATGTGTCAGTGTAGGTTCATCAGTTGTAACAAGTGTACATTTTTAGTGTGGGATGATGATAATGGAGGTTATGCATGTGTGGGAGCAAAGGGTATATGGAAATCTTTTTCCTTGCAATTTTGCTATGACCCTAAATCTGTTCTAAAGAAAGTCATGTATATGTACGTGTAAATATATATGTATATGTAGTCACACCAAGAGCCTAGTAAGTAGGGTTGGCTTTTTTCACATTATTTCAGTTTTCTGACGTTGATGGTGTTTGGTGCAACATAACTGAATTATATATCCACACTAATATCATCCTGCCACATTCAAGCTCTTATAAGATTTGAGTGCCTGGCTGGGTGCGGTGTCTCATGTCTATAATCTCAGCACTTTGGGAGGCCAAGACAAGTGGATCACTTGAGGTCTGGAGTTTGAGACCAGCCTGACCAACATGGAGAAGCCCCATCTCTACTAAAAATACAAAATTAGTCGGGCATAGTGGCGCATGCCTGTAATCCCATCTACTCGGGAGGCTGAGGCAGGAGAATCACTTGAACCCGGGAGGTGTAGGTTGCAACAAGAGCCAAACTCAGTCTCAAAAAAAAAAAAAAAAAAAAAGGGTTTGAGTGCCTAATCAGCATGGATTGAAACATTAATTAGTGAGAATCAGGCATTTTTACCGGCATCTTGTCTAGATTCTCTAAGCCTTAAAAATGAAGACCTGGACAGGCATATTGGCTCACACCTATAATCTCAGCACTTAGGGAAGCTGTGGTGGGAGGGTCGCTTGAGCCCAAGAGTTTGACACCAGCCCTGACAACATAGTGAGATCTCAACTCTACAGTAATTTTAAAAAATAGCTAGGTGTGGTTGCACATGCCTATAGTCTCAAGTAGTCAGAAGGCTGAGGCAGGAAGATGGCTTGAGCCTGGGAGGTTGAAGTACAGTGAGCTATGGTTGCACCACTGCATTCCAGCCTGGGTGACAAAGCAAGACCCTGTCTCCAAAAAAACAAAAAAACAAAAAAACTGAGAAGCATATGTTGGAATTAGAAATATATATATACCATTAGACCCAAGGAAAATGGAACCAAGTTTAGTAATACACAGGAAAACAGTCTCCTACATAAAGCAACTGACTTAATCAAGACTATGGAAAAAAAGCCCCCTTTCAACTATGTTAAATAGCAAAGAATGGTAAATGCTAAGTGTAGTAGGACAAATACATATGTTACAGGTAACCAATATTCCTTTCCAGAATAATGCTAAGAGTTTTTCCAAGAGCACTTCATTATGGAAATCTTACATGGATTGCTGAGTATAGATAAATAAATGACTGCTTTAAGAGTATTTTTCCTCTTTTCAGTTTTCTTTTTTTTTTTTTTTGCCTTCTGTTTATATCTGTGTATGTGCGAGAGAGAGAGAGAGAAGCATAAAGCAAATATGTACATTTTAAAAACAGAAAGCAAACATCCATGTAATTGTCATCAAAATCAGGAGATAGGACATTGCTGGCCCCCAAGAATGCCCCGTTTAAGTTGTGTTTCTGTGCTTCTATAAGACACAAGAATGACACAAGAATGCCCTTGTTTCCTTGGTGTTTGTGATGTCAAGTGAGCACTCAACAAGCACAGGTGCATCAGGAAAATGCATATATTTCACCATAAAATTTGTATTTACTTGTTATCATCACTCTATCCACAAAAAGCTGCTTCTGCAATCAAAGTTGTATACTAATACGGGAAAGACAGCTGCGGAGCGAAATATAGTAGTAAACTTCCATGTGCCAGGTAGTGCTAGGAGGTAGATGCCTTTTTAACAAAAGCGGTATTGTTTCTTAAAATCTGATGTAAAAATAATAGGGGGTGGAGGGGATTATTCACTTCAGGTCCTAGGATTTTATAATATAACTCCTCCCCTCCTCCCCGCCAGCTCTGGAGGTCTGGGTGATCTCCTCCTGGCTTCTCATTCTCCTTCTTTCTCTCCCTCCCTTCCTTCACATACCTCCTATTTTTTTTTTTTTTTCTTTTTTAGACTGAGTCTTGCTCTGTTGCCCAGGCGGGAGTCCAGTGACACGATCTTGGCTCACTGCAACCCCCGCCTCCTGGATTCAAGTGATTCTCGTGCCTCAGCTTCCTGAGTAGCTGGGGTTACAGGCACCCACCACCACCCCTGGCTAATTGTTGTATTTTTAGTAGAGACAGGGTTTTGCCATGTTGGTCAGGCTGGTCTTGAACTTCTGACCTCAAGCAATCCACCTGCCTTGGCCTCCCAAAGTGTTGGGATTACAGGCATTAAGCCACTGCACCCGACCTCTCCTGTCTATTTTAACCAGTTCCTGACATTCTTGTATCATACCTTTGGGCTAATGTCCCTAGACCCAGGGGCAATGGAGCCACCCAGGTTGTTTGCAACAATTTCCTGATGGAAATAGTATTAGATGTGAGGCCCCTCTTTCTTGGAAGACCCTTGCTTGAGCTCCTTGAGGAAGTCCTGCCCTTCTTAAAAGCCTCCCTCAAATCTCATCATGTTTGTCATCTTGAGGTCACCTAGTTGGATTTAATCTCTTTCTACTCCCATATCTTCTATCTGTCTTTTAGCACTGATGACAGTGGTTTATGTTAGGATTGTATCTGTAGGTGCCTCTCACTCCTGCTGGTCAGGGACCGTAGCTCTCTTAACCACTGTATTCCCTACTACTAGTGCTGCGCTTTACCCCAGAGCAGGCTCACTAAATGGCTGAATTGATTTGTTGAATCCAGAATATTTAAAATGTGATCACTGCTGGACATAGTGGCTCACATCTGTAATCCCAGCACTTTGGGAGGCCAAAGTGGGTGGATTGCTTGAGCTCAGGCGTTTGAGACCAGCCTGGGCAACATAGCGAGACTTTATCTCTATTAAAACCAAGAAAATTAGCCAGGTATGGTGGTACGCATCTGTGGTCCCAGCTATTTGGGAGGCTGAGGTGGGGGGATCACTTGAGCCTGGGACGTCGAGGCTTCAGTGAGCTGTGATCACGCCATTGCACTCCACTCTGGGCAACAGAGTGAGACTTTGTCTCTAAATAAATAAATAAAAATAAGATGTGATCAGGCCAGGTACAGTGGCTCACATCTGTAATCCCAGCACTTTGGGAGGCTGAGGCAGGAGGATTGCTTGAGCCCAGGAGTTCAAGACCAGCCTGGGCGACATAGTGAGATCCTGTCTCTATAAAAAATAAAGAAGTAGCTGGGTGCAGTGACACACACCTATAGTCTCAGCTACTTGGGATGTGGAGGTGGGAGGATCACTTGAGTCCAGGAGTTTGAGGCTGCAGTGAATTATGTTCATGCCATTGCACTCCAGCCTGTATAACAGAGAACCTACCTCAAAAAAAGAAAAAAAAAAAAATGTGGCTGGGTACCATGGTTCATGCCTGTAATCCCAGCACTTTGGGAGGCTGAGGCAGGTGGATCACTCAAGGCCAGGAGTTCAAGACCAGCCTGGCCAACATGGTGAAAGCCTATCTCTACTAAAAATATAAAAATTAGCTGGGCGTGGTGGTGCATACCTGTAATCCCAGCTACTCGGGAGGATGAGGCAGAGAATTGCTTGAACCGGGAAGGCAGAGGCTGCAGTGAGCCGAAATCATGCCACTGCACTCCAGCCTGGGTGACAGAGTGAGACTCTATCTCAAAAAAATAAAAAGAAAAAAATGTGATCAATTTGACATTTTCCTATGCAGCATATCAGGCATGTTGTCTATAAAATTCACCATGAAGACCGAATATATGTTAAATGTTTTGAAGCTTCACCTTTGGAAATGTACCTTTTCCTTTTCCACTATTAAAGTAAAGAAGGAATTATTCAATGTTGTATGGTCATAAAATAAAAGATTATGAATGACAGATAGTGAAGTGAGTTTACAACCTCTATTAATCTATTGGTGTCCTTGTCCATTCTGTGCAGTCACTTCAGCTGTCTCCGGGACAATACAATGTGCTTCCTGCACCGGTTCCCAAATATGCTTCCAGGTAATTATATACTTACTAAATAAGCCGCCTTTCTGTTTACATACCTACATGCCAATCCTCATGGCTTTTAAACCTCATTTATGCACCTCATATGCAGATTAACATTTTAAAATATTTAATGAAAGATAGGGAATAAGTTAACAAAGATCTTTTTTTTTTTTTTTTTTTTGAGACGGAGTCTCGCTCTGTCACCCAGGCTGGAGTGCAGTGGCTGGATCTCAGCTCACTGCAGCTCCGCCTCCCGGGTTTACGCCATTCTCCTGCCTCAGCCTCCCGAGTAGCTGGGACTACAGGCGCCCGCCACCTCGCCCGGCTAGCTTTTTGTAGTTTTTTAGTAGAGACGGGGTTTCACTGTGTTTGCCAGGATGGTCTCGATCTCCTGACCTCGTGATCCACCGTCTCGGCCTCCCAAAGTGCTGGGATTACAGGCTTGAGCCACCGCGCCCGGCCCAGTTAACAAAGATCTTTAAAAAATAGACTTAGAAAATCATTTTTCTTTTTTTTTTTTTTTTTTTAATATAGGAGCTGTGTATTTCGCTCAACGGTTCAAAGATTCCCAACAACTTATTTTATTCCTGTAAGTATAATGTAGAAGTTAACTCATGATGAATTTGATGTTTAAAATATGCTGTGCTTTCTGGAGTGGAGCAAGATGGCCAAATAGAACCCTCCTATGAGCGTTTTCCCTAGCAGGAACACTAAACTGAACAATTATTCACACAAGAAAACACCTCTATAAGAACCAAACAGCAGGTGTGGGATCGCAATACCAGGTTTTAACTTTGTGTCAAGGAAAGAGGCACTGAAGAGGGTAGGGTAGAAAAGACAGTCTTGAATTGCCAACACCACCCTCCCCCATCCCCTGGCAGCAGCCATGTGGCATGAAGAGAGAATCTGCCCTTGGGGAAGAGGGAATGCTGTGATGGTGGGACTTTGCACAGGAACACAGTGCTGGCTGTCACAGGGAAAGCAACACAGGACAGAATTCAGTTGGTGCCCATGGAGGGAGCATTTAGACCAGCCCTAGCCCATCCCAGCCGTTTGATACTGAGTTCTAGCTCTCTCTACCACTGTGGGCTGAAGTGCTCTGAGGTCCTAAATAAGCTTGAAAGGCAGTCTAGGCCACAAGGACTGCAATTCCTGGGCAAGTTCTGGTGCTGTGCTGGGCTCAGGGGCAGTGGACTTCGGGTACATAAGACCTAGTGAGACACCAGCTGGGGCAGCCAAGGGAGTGCTTGTAGCAGCCATCCCCCAGCCCCAGGCAGCACAGCTTGCAGCTTCAAGAGAGACGCCTTCCTTTCGCTTGAGAGGAGGAGAGGGGAGAGTAAAGAGGACTTGTCTTGCAATCTGGATACCAGCTCAGCCACAGCAGAACAGGGCACCTCACGCAGAGTCCCGAGGCCCCCATTCCAGGCCCTAGCTCCCAGACATTTCTAGACACATCTCTGGCCAGAAGAGAATCCACTGCCTTAAAGAGAAGGACCCAGTTCTGGCAAGATTCATAACTTACTGACTAAAGAGCCCTTGGGCTTTGAATAAACACCAGCAGTGGCCAGACAACACTCACTGCAGGCCTTAGCCAGACAGTGCTGTGCTGCTTCAGGTGTGACCCAGCACATTCCCAGCTACAGTGGTCACAGGGAGAGACTACTGCTTGAGGAAAGGAGAGGGAGGAGCAAAGGGGATTTTGTCTTGCTGCTTGGGTACCAGTTCAGCCACAGTGAAGTAGAGCACCAAGCAGGCTTCCGGGGTTCCCAATTCCAGGCCTTGGCTCCTTGATGGCATTTCTGGACTCCCACTGGGCCAGAGGGGAGCCCATTGCCCTGAAGGGAGAGACCTAGGCCTGGCAGCATTCCCCACAAGCTGACTGAAGAGCCTTGAGTGAACATTAGTGGTATCCAGCCAGTACTTGCTACAGGCCTGGGTGGTTGTGTCCATAGAGAGACTCCTGCTTGAGGAGAGGTGAGGGAAGAGTGGGAAGAACTGTGTCTTCTGGCTTGGGTGCCAGCTCAGCTGCAGTAGAATAGAGTACCAAACAAATTCCTAAGTTTCCTGACTCCAGGGCCTGGCTCCCAGATGGCATTTCTGGTCTGCACTGGGCCCAGGGGGCAGCATGCTGCCTTGAAGGGAAGAGCTTTTGTTTGGGCCTTGAGTGAACATGGGCAGTAGCTAGGCAGTAGTTACTGCAGGCCTTGGGTAAGACCCAGTACCATGCTGGCTTTGGCTCTGACCCAGCACAGTCCCAGGGATATTAGCCATAGAGGTGCTTGTGTCACCCCTCCCTCAGCTTTAGCCATCTCAGTACAAAGAGAGACTTCGTTTGTTTGGGGGAAGGGAAGGGAAGAGAACCAGAGTCTCTGCCTGGTAATCCAGAGAACTCTCTCAGATCTTATCCAAGACAACCAAGGCAGTACCTCTACAAGTCTACCAGAATCACAGCAATTACTAGGCTTGGGGTGCCCTCTAATGCAGATGCAGCTACAGTGACCAAAGACAGATTACAGTGCTTAATTCCCTTTGAATACTTGGAAAGCCTTCCCAAGAAGGACAGGTACAAACAAGACCAGCTGCGAAGACTACAATAAACACCTAACTCTACAATGCCCAGACATTGGCAAGCATACAAGTATCAAGACCATCTAGTGAAACACAACCTCACCAGTTGAACTAAATAAAGCACCAGTGACCAATCCCAGAGTGACAGAGATATGTGACCTTTCAGACAGAGACCTCAAAATAGCTGTTTTGACAAAGTGCAACAAAATTTAAGATGACACAGAGAAAGAATTCAGAATTCTATCAGATAAATTTAGCAAACAAATCAAAATAATTTTAAAAAATCAAGCAGATACCCTGGAGCTGAAAAATTCAATTGATATACTGAAGAATACACCAAAGTCTCCCAATAGCAGAACTGATCACACAGAAGAAAAAATTTGTGAGCTTGGATGGGGTACAGTGGCTCATGTCTGTAATTCCAGCACTTTGGGAGGCTGAGGCGGCAGATGGCTTGAGGCCAGGACTTCAAGACCAGTCTGGCCAACATGGCAAAAGCTCGTCTCTACTAAAAATACAAAAATTATCTGGGTGTGGTGGTGCACACCTGTAATCCCAGCTACTTGAGAGGCTGAGGTATGAGAATCGCTTGAACCTGGGAGGTGGAGGTTGCAGTGAGGCAAGATTGTGCCACTGCACTCCAGCCTGGGCGACAGAGTGAGACTCTGTCTCAAAAAAACAAAACAAAACAAAACAAAAAGAATTAGTGAGCTTGAAGACAAGTTATTTGAAAACACAGTCAGAGGAGACAAAAGAAAAAAGAATGAAGAATGCTTACAGAATCTATAAAATAGCCTCAAAAGGGCAAATCTAAGAGTTACTGGCCTTAAAGAGAGAGATTGAAGTAGAAAGTTTATTCAAAGGGATAATAACAGGGACCATTCCAAACCTAGAGAAAGATAGAAATATTGAAGTACAAGAAGGTTATAGAACACTAAGCATATTTAACCCAAATAAGACCACCTCAAGACATTTAATAATCAAACTCCCAAAAGTCAAGGACAAAGAAAGAATCCTAAAGCACAAGAGGAAAGAAGAAAATAACATAGAATGGAGCACCTATACATCTGGCAGCGGACTTCTCAGTGGAAACCTTACAGCCCAGGAGTGAGTGACATGACATATTTAAAGTGCCGAAAGAAAAAAACTTATCCTGGAATAGTATAGTCAGTAAAAATCCTTAAAATGTGAAGGATACTTTCCCAGACAACCAAAGCTAAGGCATTTCAACACCAGACCTGTCCTACAAGAAACGCTAAAGGGAGTTCTTCAAATTCTGAAAGGAAAGGACATTAATGAGCAACAAGAAATAATCTGAGGCCAGGTGCAGTGGCTCATGCCTGCAATATCAGCACTTTGGGAGACTGAGGCAGGAGGATTGCTTGAGTCCAGGAGTTCAAGACCAGCCTAGGCAACATAGAGAGACTCCATCTCTACAAAAAATTTTAAAAATTAGCTGGGCATGATGACATGCACCTGTGGTCCCAGCTACTCAGGTAGGCTGAGGTGGGAAGATCACTTGAGCCCAGGAGGTTGAGGCTGCAGTGAGCCATGTGTGTGCCACTGCAGCCCAGCCTGGGCAGCAGAACAAGACGGTGTCTGAAGAAGAAAAAGGAGAAGGAGAGAAAGAAGAAAGAAGAAGAAGAAGAGGAAGAAGAAGAAGAGGAGGAAGAGGAGGAAGAAGAGGAAGGAAAGAAAGAAGAAAGAAACCTAAAACTTTACATGGAACCACAAAAGACCCAGAATAGCCAAAGTCATCCTGAGCAAAATGAACAAAACTGAAAGAATCATATTACCTGACTTCAAATTATACTGCAGAGCTATTGTAGCAAAAACAGTATGGTAGCATAAAAACAGACACATAGACCAATGGAACAGAATAGAGAACGCAGAAATAAATCCATATATCTACAGTGAATTCATTTTTGACACAGGTGCCAAGAATACACATTGGGGAAAGGACAGTCTCTTCAATAAATGGTGCAGGGAAATGTGGATATCCATATGAAGAAGAATGAAACTAGAACCCTATCTCTTGCCATTTTACAAAAATCAAATCAAAATGGATTAAAGACTTAAATCTGGCTGGATGTGGTGGCTCATGCGTGTAATCCTAGCACTTTGGGAGGCAAAGGCAGGAGGATCCCTTGAGCCCAGGAATTCGAGACCAGCCTGGGCAACATAGGAGACCCTGTCTCTAGTTTAAAAAAAACAAAAACAAAACATAAATCTAAGACCTCAAACTATGAAACTATCAAAACAAAACATTGAGGAAACTCCAAGACATTGGTCTGGGCAAAGATTTCTTGAGCTACACCCCACAAGCACAGGCAACCAAAGCAAAAATGGATAAATGGGATCACATCAAGTTAAAAAGTTTCTGCACAACCAAGGAAACAGTCAACAAAGTGAAGAGATGACCCACATAATGGGGGACAATATTTGCAAACTATCCATCTGACAAAGGATTAATAACCAGAATATATAAGGAGCTCAAAAAACTCAGTAGGAAAAAGGTCTTTTTATTTGAGACAAGGTCTTGCTTTTTCACCAAGGCTGAAGTGCGGTGATGCAAACACAGCTCACTGCAGCCTCGACCTCCCTGGAGCAAGCAATCCTTCCCCTCAGTCCCCCAAGTAGCTGGGATTACAGGTGCATGCCACCACACCCAGCAAATTTTTGTATTTTTTTTAGAAATGGGGTCTTGCCATGTTGCCCAGGCTGGTCTTGAACTCCTGAGCTCAAGCGATCTGCCCACCTTGGCCTCCCAAAGTGGTGGAATTACAGGCATAAGCCACTGTGCCCAACCTTAATAGGAAAAAATCTGATAATCTGTTTTAAAAAATAGGCAAAAGATCTGAATAGACATTTCTCAAAAGAAGACATACAAATGACCAACAGGTGTATAAAATGGTGCTCAACATCATTAATCATCAGAGAAATGCAAATCAAAACTACAATGAGATATCATTGCATCCCAGTTTAAATGACTTATATCCAAATTACAGGCAATAGCGAATGCTGGCAAGGATGTGGAGAAAAGGGAACCCTTGTACACTGTTGGTGGGAATGTAAATTAGTAAAGCCACCATGAAGAACAGTACATAGATCCATCAAGAGAGTAAACATAGAGCGACTATATGATCCAGCAATCTCACTGCTGGGTGTATACCCAAAAGAAAAGAAATCAGTATATTGAAGAGGTATCTGCGCTCCCATGTTTTCTGCAGGACACTGTTCACAATAACCAAGATTTGGAAGCAAACTTAGTGTATATTAGCAGATGAATGGATAGAGAAAATGTGGTACATATACACAACAAAATACTACACAGCCATAAAAAATAATGAGGTCCTGCTATTTGCAATAACATGGACAGAACTGGAGGTTATTATGTTAAGTGAAATAAGCCATGCACAGAAAGGCAAACTTTGCATGTTCTCATGTATTTGTAGGAGCTAAAAATTATTAATAAAAGAGTCAAACTCATGCAGATGGAGAGTAGAAGGATGGATACCAGAGACTAAGAAGGGTAGTGGAGGAAGGGGAAAGGGGAAGTGGAGTTGGTTAATGGGTACAAAGATATAGTTAGATTGAATGAGATCTAGTATTTGATAGCACAACAGGGTGATTACAGTCAACAATAATTTATTGTACATTTAAAAATTGGCTGGGCACGGTGGTTCGTACCTGTAATCCCAGCACTTTGGGAGGCCAAAGCAGGCGGATCACTTGAGGCCAGGAGTTCAAGACCAGCCTACCAGCCTGGCCAACATGGTGAAACCCCATCTCTACTAAAAATACAAAAATCAGCCAGGTGTGGTGGCATGCACCTGTAATCCCAGCTACTCAGGAGGCTGAGGCAGGAGAATCGCTTGAACCTGGGAGGCAGAGGTTGCAGTGAGCTGAGATCGTGCCACTGCACTCTAGCTTGGGCAACAGAGTGAGACTCCGTCTCAAAAAATACATTAATAAATTAAATAAAAATAAAAGTATAATTGGCATGTTTGTAACATAAAGAAATGATAAATGCTTGAGGTGATGGATACCCCATTTATCCTGACGTGATTATGACACACTGTATGCTTATATCAAAATATCTCATGTACTCCATAAATATATATACCTACTATGTAGCCATAAAATTTTTTCAAAATAAAATATACTATGAATCCTTTTGCTATAGTAAGATTCACATTTTGCTCATCATAGTAGATAAGTTCTGAATGATTAATGCTATTGATTTAATATATACATTAAGTATATCTGAAGATATACGAGAAATTAGTAACCAATTTGTGGCAAGTTGTAGAAGAAAATGTTCGGCTCCTTTACTTTCTTTAGGTCTTGACTAAAATACCACTTTCTCAGGAAGGTCTTCCCAAGTCACCTATTCAAACTTGCTGTCCCCTTCCTTGGTTTATTGTTTACTTCATAGCATTCATCACTGTCAAGACACAATACCTTTTAAAATGTATCTACCCTGTTTTTATCTTTCCCCCTCACTAGAATGTAAGCTTATGAAGGCCGGGATTTCTTTCCTGTCTACCTAGCACCTAGGCAAGTGACGGGCACATAGTATTTGGTGAATCAATTAATTAAATTGCTAGAGATATTCAATAGATCATGGTATTAACAAAAAGGAAGCATATCTCTTTCTTTCCTTTTAAAGATATGAAAATGCTTTTCTATTTCTAAATATCTCCAAATGCATGACCATGAGTTATGATTTTTTAAAAAATGAACTCTTTTAGATAAGTAGCTTGTCAGTAGGATGTCAAAAAAATAAATAATTATATAAATCATCTGAAAGAATAAGAAAATATAAAATTGGCCGGGCCACAGTGACTCACGCCTGTAATCCCAGCACTTTGGGAGGCTGAGGCAGGTGGATCATTTGAGATCAGGAGTTCGAGACCAGCCTGGCCAACATGGTGAAACCCCGTCTCTACTAAAAATACAAAAATTAGCTGGGCATGGTGGCTTCCGCCTGTAATCCCAGCTACTCAGAAGGCTGAAGCAGGAGAATCACTTGAACCCAGGAGGCAGAGGTTGCAGTGAGCCAAGATCACACCACTGCACTCCAGCCTGGGCAATAGAGTGAGACTCAGACTCAAAAAAATAAAAACATAAAAAAATAACAGAAAGAAAATATAAAATTGTTTTGGGATAGTTTGATGCACTATAATTATTTATTTATTTGTAGTTACAAACTCAGGATCAAAAAAGACCACATAGCAAACATCTGCAAAAAAAAAAAAAAAAAAAAATTGAGATAACTGAACAGAGCTCAGAAACAGATCCTAGAATATATTAATATAAGATTTTTACATTTGATAAAGATAGTATGACAAGTCAGTAGGGAAAGGAAAAGATATGTTAGATAACTTATTATTAAATAACTTGGAAAAGGTATTAGATTCTCACTTCATAGCACACATTAAAATAAATTTCATGTTGATTAAAGAATTAGATACTTTTGAAGCCATTAAACCACGAGAAAAATATATTAGTATATATCTAAGGATAAGCAAACTTTCTGAGATAATAGCAATGGAAGAAATTTCAAAGGAAAAGAAATACTGGATTTGATTATATAACATTAAAAACTTTTTGTGTATCAGAAAACAAACTGCAAACAAAGTTAATAGGCAAATGTAATCTAGGAAAAGTATTTTCAACATCCCTAGCAGATAAAGGATTAATAGCATTATCTATAAAATTATCATAACAATCTATAGGAAAAACAACAGAAAAGTAAAACAGATAAAGGACATAAATAGACAATTCATAAATAAGAAATTCAGATATCCAGTAAAGGTGAAAAATCTTTTGATCTCACTAACATTTAAGTGTGAGAGACTAAAAGGCTGATTGAAAGCTCTCTGTACGTGGGTGGTACAGAAGGCTAAATTATAGCCCCCAAAGATATGTCTGTGTCCTAATGCCTGGAATCTATGGATGTTACCTTATATGGCGGAGATTTTACAGATGTGGTTAAGGATTTTGGGATGGGGAGATTATCCTGTACTCCAGGGTGGGGGCAGAATGAGATTACACACACACACACACACACACACGAGGAGAGGGTAATACATATAGAAGCAAAGATTGCAGTGGTGCAGCCACAAGTCAAGAAATGCTGGCAGCCACTAGAAGCTAAAAGAGGCAAGGAACAGCTTCTCCCTCAGAGCCTCTGGAGGGAGCATGGCCCTGCTGACACGTAATTTTAGCCCAGTGAAACTAATTCAGACTTCAGACCCTAGAACTATGAGAGAATAAATTTCTGTTTGTTTAAGACACCAAATTTGTAGTAATTTGTTATAGCAGCCATAGTGAATGAATACAGGTGGGGATTATCTCCAGGTGGGTTTCATACTGGATGGGTGGGATAAGGACCTGACTTTTCCTTTGATAGCCCATAAATATCCGTATCTGTAGGTCTTTTTTCTAGGATACATCAGTTGATTCAAAACGACTCATCAGCTTCCTGCCTGGGGTTTAAGCCAGTTGTCAGTGTTCTGGGAGCTGAGTGGAGGGAGGGGCTGGTGGTCTCATCATGCAGTGTGTAGAAGTTCACTTAATTACAGTTTTCAGTAAAGGCCCACATCCTCACAGTGCTTGGGGTTCCTGAGTTCAGATCTCTGCTGCAGTCTCATCAGAACTAAACTCCCTGTCTCCTGTAGGGATGTGGGAAGGGGGGTTGCCTGACAGCTTGGGGTGAGGGGAGACAGGGCCCTGAAGTAAAAATATTCAACCAGACCTTCTGCTTTCAGATCTACCCCCACCCCCACCTCACAGGTGCCTGTTGCCTTAAATTCCCCAGCTTTTCTTGTGTTCCGTGGAGCAAATCAGCTTGCTTCTCCTTGGCAAGTCCTCTGCAAGGATTTAGGCTTCTGCCTTCTCTACCCTGCCAGGTCAGCTACTATTCCTCCAAATTGCTTCACATCTTCCAAAAATATGTCATCATCTCATGTTGACTGTTGTGTCTTCTCTTGGCTCTCTGTGTATGTGTATGTATAGGTGTGTGTTGTAGGGTAGGGTGAGATAGAACAGGAACCCCCTCTTAGGGACCTGGATGCCCCCCAAACATAAATGTTTTTTATATTTTAAATTCCTTCAAAAAAATTTCAGATACCTATTAATAACTAGCTCTGAGAAGTAAATAAACAATAACAAAAAGATAACAGTAGCCAAAAACCATAGCCAAGAACACTAAAATCACAGGATGTTTATTACCCCTATAGGAAATAAAGATGACATCTTAATGTATGACTGAAACCCGGACCCCCACCAAATGGATATGCCCAGTCCATAGATGTCAAATGAGGGGGAACTGGGACTAAACTCTAACCACATTCTTATTCTAAATTTCTTCCAGGTGTGACCTGGAAAAAGTCACACCCACAAGCCAGAGCTAACATTCTTTTCTGCTGGCCCCCAGTTTTTTTGTTTGTTTTTTGTTTTGAGACAGAGTCTCTCTGTTGCCCAGGTTGGAGTGCAGTGGCACGAACTCGGCTCACTGCAACCTCCACCTCCCAGGTTCAAGCGATTCTACTGCCTCAGCCTCTCTAGTAGCTGTGATTACAGGTGTAGGCCACCACGCCCAGCTAATTTTTGTATTTTTAGTAGAGAAGGGGTTTCACCACATTGCCCAAGCTGATCTTGACCTCCTGACCTCAAGTGATCCACCCACCTTAACCTCCTAAAGTGCTGGGATTACAGGCATGAGCCACTGCCCCTGGCCTGGCCCCAAATTTTTAAATCAAGCCTCTCTTTTTTATCCAACTGCAAATCAGAAAATATTTAAATGTACCTATGACCTGTAAGCCCTTGCTTCAAGAAATCTCACCCTTTTAGGCTAAATAAAACCAATGTATAACTTCCATATATAATTTATAATTTTGCCTGTAACATTTAGCCCTACCCTTTCCTCACATTTAGCCCTACGATTAAAACTTCTTACCTGCAAGCCACTGCGGAGGTCAGGACTTAAACATTAGTTGCCTGGTCCTCCTTGCTTGGTACCCTGCAAATAAATGCCTTCCTTTCTACCACTACAAACCTCACTTGAGGTATCTGGTCTTACTACACTGGGTAGCAGCCCCCAGTCTGTTCTATAACAATAGTTACATCTTTTTTATTTGATGGGAAAAGAATGGAGATAAATGCTTGTGTTCAGTTGGCTTTGGCAGCGAGCAGTTAGGACACCAAGTTTTTTCTCCACTGCATGATATTGTATTTCCTTTGAAATGCATGCTTTAAATGAAGACTGTGAGTGAATAATGATTTGTTTACTGTTAGTACAGAGCAACTGAAAAATAATTCAGGCAGGACAATCTACTTGGTATGTGAAATAGCAGAAGGTAGTCGATTCTGACGATTTCTGCCTAATGTTCTATTGCTTTTATGGAGGAGATTTTGTGAGATGCTTACTCTGCCACTTTTACTGATATCACCTCATCCATTCCATCTTACAAATAAAAGTGATTCACTGATTTGGAACATCCTGCCCTTTGAAAAAGTAAAAAGAATACTTTTATGGAAAATGTTCCAAGGCAAAGAAACAGCCCAGGACTGTGATTCATGTCTGTCTTAAACATGCATTCCCAGAGCCGACTTGTGCATCTGGTTTAGATCCATAAACTTGTGAACTGCAGAGAGGAAACTCTTTTGATCCCAGCAGTGGGAGATGGTGGCGTGCAGCGTGGGTGTGGTAAAGAAGCAGTGTTTGCCAAGAGAACAATGTCTCAGACCTTCTTGTGATAAATGCTTCAATACTTAGGCCATCATAATGTGCCATTCAGCTTTTATACGAAAACTCATTTGGTTGATTTTGTCATTCAGTTTAATTGTTCTAAAAATTAACATCATAGTTATGGAAGTGTGAAGGATTGTTAGAACTGGAAGAAACTTTATAAATCAACTACAGCATCTATTAGGGTGAACTTTGATAATGATCTTGACTACCGTCCATTTAGTGTCTTCTGGTGCCAGGTGCAGTGTTCAGTGACTGACATAGACTGTCTCATGTAATCCTCATAACTTGGGGAGATGGTATTAATTTATCATCTCTATTTGATAGAGTGGCCATTAATTGCTCAAAGTCACACAATTATTAAGAGATAGAGTCAGGGTTAGAGAAAGAGTTAGTTTTTTGGTGACCTCAAAACCTGGGTTTTGAGCTGTCTTACCACTTAGTGCAGCAGTCTGCAACCTTTTTGGCACCAGGGACTGGTTTCACAGAAGACAATTTTTCCATGGACCGGGGTTGGGGTGGGGAATGGTTTCGGGATGATTCAAGCGTGTTACATTATTGTGCACCTTATTTCTATTATTATTACATTGTAATAGATAGTGAAATAATTATACAACTCACCATAATGTAGAATCAGCGTGAGCCCTGAGCTTGTTTTCTTGCAACTAGATAGTCGCATTTGGGGGTGATGAGAGACAGCGATAGATCATCAGGCATTAGATAATCATAAGGAAGGCACAACCTAGATCCCTTGCATGTGCAGTTCACAATAGGGTTCCCCCTCGAATGAGAATCTAATGCTGCCGCTGATCTGATAGGAGCCAGAGCTCAGGCAGTAATGTGAGTGATAGGGAGTGGCTGTAAATACAGATGAAGCTTCACTCCCTTGCTTGCCCACCCCTCACCTCCTGCTATGAAGCCTGGGGGTTGGGGACCCCTGACTTAAGCAACTCGCTTAAAGCCAAGTAGTCAATATTGTGCTGTCAGACCAGGTGCAGTGGCTCAACCCTGTAATCCCAACATGCTGGGAGGCCAAGGCAGGAGGACCCCTTGAGACCAGGAGTTCAAGACCAGCCTGGGCAACATAGCAAGACCTCATCTCTATTTTAAATAAATAAATATATATGTTGTGCTATCTCTAAAGTGACAACTTCCCCCTGATAATAGAGGCTTGGTCATGAGGCCAGGTTCCCCCACTGGACCCCTTTGCAGCAGAATGAGTTCATATACAAGTTCTTTCATCTATTGCAAAAATCATTTTGGATGCTTATGTGTGTGACACCCTATGCCAAGTAGGCATTGTTGATACAAAGGCAAGTGAGACATTTTATCAATGCTGTCTTTGTGCTTCAACAGGGCAGGATAACTGATAAAGTCAGTTATCCAACCAATGTGTATACACGCAAGCACACACAAACTTACACATATTAAATGAGAGTCTGTGATTCACAAGGCGTATGTCTGGCTAATGTGGGAACACATGGGTTAACATGCAGAACTTGAAACATGGTGCCCCAAATTAGATACTGATGACTCAATTTAACATTATCTGTTGGGCCAGGCGTGGTGGCTCACGCCTGTTATCCCAGCACTTTAGGAGGCCGAGGCAGGCAGATCACCTGAGGTCGGGAGTTCACGACCAGCCTGACCAACATGGAGAAACCCTGTCTCTACTAAAAATACAAAATTAGCTGGGCATGGTGGCGCATGCCTGTAATCCCAGCTACCTGGGAGACTGAGGCAGGAGAATCGCTTGAACCCAGGAGGAGGAGGCTGCAGTGAGCTGAGATCATGCCATTGCACTCCGGCCTGGGCAACAAGAGCAAAAGTCCTTCTCAAAACAAAACAAAACAAAACAAAAAACATTATCTGTTAATAGAAGCACATGCATCTTCTTTCTTCCAACAGCCACCTCCAAAACTTTCCAATGCATTTGCTTGATAAGCTTCCCAGCAAGTTCCCGACCCTAGGCAGAGGAAGGAGAAGAGGGCATGGGTGAAGAGAAAGCTTGGTTAAGGCAAGGGACACCCATATCCATTTCTCGGAGCCCATATCCTAAGCAAAAATCAAATAAACCAAAGTGCTAGGTGTCCTCTCAGCTTTTGGGTCAAAGAGCCTTTCCATAAGGTATTCATTAGTTGAGGGGCCCAGGAAGGAAAATTTGTATTTATATCTTACTCACTGCAGCAATGCCTGAAACCCCACAGGTAAGGATTTTGGCATGAGAGCCCAAGAGCTGACAGGTATCAACCTTGATTTAACTGTTGAGAAATGTTTTGTGGAGGATTTTGTCTTTTCACATGTCCTCTTCTAAATGCAAAAGCTCCCAAAAGGAGGAAAATACTGATCAAGTTCAAACTAAGGCATTAGTGACCTATCAGATTCTCTCCCCTTCTCCGCCATGCTCCCAGGAACATAAACGAGACAAGAATTAGGGTATCTGAGAGAAAGAAAAGGAATCGAAAAGAGGGAGAAATGTGAGAAAGTGTCCCACTTATGTCATTATTAACTGTTCTTTCAGTGCATGGAACATGTGTGCTATGCTTTTAGACGGTAGCCTTAAGAGAATTCCGTAAAACCTTCTACAAAATAAAACAAAATTTACAGAGTTGCTATGTTGGGAATTTTCACAGATGTTTAACTTGTAAAATACCTAAGTCTGTTGATTCTTATAAGATGAGCAATTTTGACATAAATGTGAAATAGAATAGTTTCAGAGAAGCTCTACAACAATGAATGTTAAATAAGTGGAGTTTCTGCTTATGTGGGATAAACCGTTATTTTGTGCAATTTGAATATCCTTCTATTCCTTAGATCTGCAGGGAGCCCTAGGGACCTAATCACCTCTTAAAGGCCACATCTCTGAATACTATCACGTTGACAATGCCTGAATTTTGGAGGGGAGGCATTCAAACCATAGCATAGGCCAGCCACTGGGCATGGGCCCCTTGGGCAAAAGATTGGTGGAGTTTATCCTCTGGAAAAACTCAGTGAAACCAGAGGAAAGAACACTATATCCTAACACTTAGGGAACCCTAGGAAAAAGACTGGCCTATGCTATGGTTTGAATGCGTCCCCTCCAAAATGGTAGGAGAATCACTTGAACCCAGAAGGTGGAGGTGTCAGTGAGCCAAGATCGTACCACTGCACTCCAGCCTGGGTGACAAAGCAAGACTCTGTCAAAAAAAAAAAATTTTGTATTGTTGGATGATCGTTTAAGAATGAGGGAGTGTGGCCGGGCACAGTGGCTCAAGCCTATAATCCCAGCACTTTGGGGGGCCGAGGCCGGTGGATCACGAGGTCAGGAGATCGAGACCATCCTGGCTAACATGGTGAAACCCCATCTCTACTAAAAA